TTTTACCTATGAATAAAAATAAATTGCTTCGAAGAATGATGCACGCGACGAAGAATAATATTAATTTCACTTAAACGTTAAATATCTTAGAAAAAAAAAAAAGAAGTCTCGATTCACAGAGTTTCCCTAGTTAAATCAATAAATAATCGCTATCCTGTGTGTGTGTGTGTGTGTGTGACATCTCGTGTGTAATAACAATAGTAACCGTATTTTTTCGCACTTTTATTTTTTCCTTCTTTGCGCTTGCATTTCATTAAGAGTTCTAGCGAGGATCGAGTGTTATCGAAAATAGCGAGTAACTAGACTGCAGTCACTGTATCCTATTTTTAAATCGCTAAGTATATTGCGTAAAAGACGGGTCAAAAAATATATTATACTACTTGGAACTGAAAAAGGGACATGTCGGACCCTTTTTTTTATTTTTCACCTTTCATCTTCTCCTTTTCTATTATTTCGCCTTAATTTTGCGCGCGAGTTGTGTGTTTCTCGAATAAAAATCTATCACTTCTATATAAATGTCATGGCTACACACGTAATACGCGAATGTCGACAAATAAATCGATCATTCAACTCTTCGTGTAAAATATTGCTCTGTTTTCTGTTCTTCGGTATTTTTTTTTTTTTTTTTTTTTGGCGGGGTTCTCTTCTTTTGTCTTCTTCGTCGATAAAAAATGCGCCAACTTCTTTCACGAAGTGTCTTAAACGTCGATACGATTTGCCTTGGAAAGAACAAAAATGACAGTCTGTCCCCAAAATAGAAATCTTTACGAGATTCTTAGACCGAACAAAGCCTAAGAAAAATGTTGCGTTTGGACAGTGAAATGCTGCTTGCGAAATTTTCGTTACTTTTTTTTTTTTCTGTTCTTTGTTTGCGCAGAGACAACGCTGTATCCGTTTATCAGTCATTCTCCTTTTCGATTATCGCGAAATTGCAATTTATCTAACCGAAGCAGCCTTTCGTTTTTCTTCTTCTTTCGATTTGTTTCTTGCTTGACGCGAGAACAGTGGAAATTTCTATCGTAAGAAGTAAAATACAACCGCGACGATTGCGCGGTTTACTTGTTACCGATTTAAAAAAAAAAAAGTAGTCTTCGTTCAAGTAAAGGGAAACATTTGTTTTCCATGCGAAATAAGTGTAGCGTTTTAACTGTCGGATTTTTTTCGGATTAAGAAACTTCCAGCACTGTCGCGTCGACCAATCGGTTACTTATTAATTTCTCTACGTGTATCAGTCTCAAAAGTGGATCATTGAGCGAAAATGAACGGAACCAGTTCGCATTCTCGACGCATCGCACCGGTATTTTCGCTTATTGCAACTGATATCTCTCGTTTCCATCATTGCTAACTATAGTTCTAACATTCGCTAATCATCTCATTTCCATCATTCCTACGTACACACTTCAACATTCGCTAATCATCTCTAAGTCACCTCGTTTCCATCCTTGCTTAACTTTAACTAATCGAACCTAAATCGGCAGGATTGTAATCTCCACGAGGATCGAACGATCTACTCTCGCACACATACTCTTGTTCCTAGCCTGTCCAACGAAGAATCAAGGAAATCCATACTTGTTTATCGTACAAAGATCATACCTTTCCAACTGAGAAGTAACCACGCTACACAAACTCTTCCATCTTCCACAGTCGAAGGATCGAGAACCGGATTGATCTAGACGCTCGTCTTTCTATACGACCTTCTCGCATATTTTCCAAATATGCCCTCGGCGCGTCTGTAGAAATGCACCATCGATTTCTGCCGCGAAATCGTGTGCCTGCGCTGCTGTCAGAGAATCGACACGTCCTGCGAGTTCCTGTTCTCCGGCAGCATGGCGCGTCTCTCCTCCATTTGTATGGTCCCGTCGTTCTCGCCGGAGTAGTCGAAACCGGTGGACAATCCAGGCTGGATGTTCACGTACCTGTGAGCCTGCTCGTCCTTTCGCTTGAAGCTCTGCAAGCTGATCGTCGGACCGGACGAAGATTCGCCAGAGCTCATCAACAGAGGCCTGGAGCTTTCTAGGTCGCAGGAGGTCACGTCGCCTAACAGAGAGTCCTGGTTCGGTTTGTCGTCCTGGCAGTTGATGTCCAGCAGAGGAGGACTGGGTATACCCAATGGACTGGACGCCGATGTGGACGATTGGTTGTTGGCAGGAAACGGAAGAGGCCACGAGAGGGAGAATTTCCTCAGATGCTCCGTGAGATGCATCTCGAATTGGCCAGTGTGCTCGATCTGCACGCTGGACAGAGGAACGTCTAAGCATGGAGATAGGATTCGAGGATTCGTGGCTAGGAAGTCGACGATCTCGGGGGCCGTTGGCCTCTTCGTGTGCTCTGTGCTCCAGCAAGAGTACATCAAGTTTTCTCTGGAAATGGTGAAGATTTCTTGGGTGTTTAAACGGTCTCGTTGTTTGGTGAGAGTTTTAGGCAGAAGTTTTGTCGGTTTTTTAAGGAGCTCCTGAGGAATTCAGGTGTGTGATTTAAATAGCAAGAGAATGAAATTTTTTTGGTGCGATTGTACGATAGTCTTCTGTAGTTTCTTCTGCAGTTTGATGTTTATTTAACCTCTTGCGCTGGCAGATAATTCACAGATGCGCGTGCCTAAATGCTACACTAATTCGACGTGAGCTGCAAAGGAGGATGTTAGAAAAACGTCAATTTTGGCATACGGCCGGAACGAAAAATTTTTTCACAGCATGATTCTACGCATCCTGAGGAACGAAAAATGTAATTGCCATTTTTCCCGGAAATGATGGGAAAGTTATGCGAAATGCGGTTCAAGGTAAGAGTATGACCATACTTATAACTTACATAGGTATTCTGTCACGTTTTCTTCGGATGATAGTCTGTTCGTAAATTAACCACTTAGAAACCCATATTGTACATTAGTGTTTAATAAAAAGCAAAAATAATGAAAAATAATTAATGACAAATTAATCGAAACAAGGAATTCTTTGATGACACGATGCTTATATTCGAAGCTAAGTGATAAAAGTTATAATAAACTATCGTAAATATAATAAAATAATCGTCATGACAGGGATGCAATAAAAAAGTAAGACTCCAACAGAATTTGCATTTCTTAACTGTCTATCCACTATGAAAGCCAGAGGAAAAAGTATGATCCTACATATCAGTCTAAATATACATGTGTTCTGTCGAACTACGCGTAGGTTTAGAGACGTCGACTGTCCGCGTAGATGAAAGTTTTACGGAAAACTGAAGTCTGATCGTCTGCACTGCGTGTCAATTGTCGTATATTGTCGTTAGAATGATAACAAACGAAGTAGGTCGTAATAAAAAGCAAAAATAATGAAAAATAATTAATGACAAATTAATCGAAACAAGGAATTCTTTGATGACACGATGCTTATATTCGAAGCTAAGTGATAAAAGTTATAATAAACTATCGTAAATATAATAAAATAATCGTCATGACAGGGATGCAATAAAAAAGTAAGACTCCAACAGAATTTGCATTTCTTAACTGTCTATCCACTATGAAAGCCAGAGGAAAAAGTATGATCCTACATATCAGTCTAAATATACATGAGTTCTGTCGAACTACGCGTAGGTTTAGAGACGTCGACTGTCCATGATCATCTGCACTGCGTGTCAATTGTCGTTAGAATAATAACAAA